TTCATGTTTGAGCCACTCCCATTTGCCCTTCTACGTCCTACCTTGAAAACCTGAACCTTGAATTCTTGAAGACTAGAACCATTGATCATTATCGAGAGTTTTCTCAAATGACTCCCGTCATTTGGGATGTAATTAACTATAGGGGCTTGCCTCTATAGGGAACTTGGAACCCAGATAAAATAAACCCTATTTAATCTTTGTATTAAATAGGGGAACTTGTCGGTCATATATAAAAGGTTCGCAGACTAAACGGATGTCACAAATCTCTTAGTTTGCTGGATTGGGTCTATCGCCGAGGTCTACACTTATCTTTCGGGAGGGTGTAGTATTCGCGGTATCAGACACGATTATGCAAACTATTGGACGAATGAGATCCATTTGGTCTCATTTTTCAAAAAACTAAAACACACTACTTTCAAAACCCAAACTATATATCTTTTATATTTAAATTAAATCTCAAAAATTATTTTCATATATCATATTTTTCAAATAAATCTAATCAATCGAAAAAGTTGACCGACAGGGCTGTAATCAAGCCGAGCTGAGTATATCATTTTTCAGACTTGGCTTGGTGTAATTATAAGTTGTTCATGTTCGGGTTGAGTTTTTGTCGAGCTTTCATTCAAGTTTGATTTGTTTATTTTTTTTTTTAATGTTTGAACTTGATTTGTTTATGTCAAATGAACGTGTATTTAAAGGAGCTAATAAACGAGATAAAAATTCAAACGAGAATCTAGATTTTTCAATAAAAAAATTAATAAATAATTTTGTAATTCTAATGGTAGTTACTAATTTGTTGATTATGAACTCTATAATCTTTGAACTTTAATAATTAGCTTCACAATTCTCATTGATATGACTACAATAGTTCAAATTTTGTAAGTAAAAGAACTAAATTAATCATAAAAGTTATAGGAATGATTATTTACTTAATCATATTAATAAGAAAATAATAGCAATAATGTTGTTGGTAATTGCAGGGTGATGGTTATAAAATATGGACTCATTACTTTCAAGGTTATGAAAACTCCATAAGAAAAATCTTGTCACTCTTTAACTGTAAATATCTTCCGAATTACCATTTATTTATTAATAAAATAAATATATGATGAATAATTAAACTAAAAATATTATTGATTTAATAATATATTACTATTAAACTTATAATTAAATAAATTATAATTAACTAAATTTTATATAAATAATATATCATTTATATAATATGAGCTCTTATCGAGCTTAATAATGAGTATTTAACAAGTTACTTGTTGAACGACAAATTAGTTTGTACTATGTTCATGTTTAGTTCATTTAGAGTCTGTTTGGGGCAGCTGCAGCTTATCCAGCTTCTGCTGATAAGCAGCTTATCCTGATGACCAGCTGATCCGGATAAGCTGTCTGACTGTTTGGTTAGTGCGTCTGAAAAACTGCTGATTATGGAAAATTGATCATATTTCCCCTGTTCTGAATAAGTTGTTTAACTGTTTGGTTTGTGCGTTTTGTAAAGAGCTTATTTGAAAATTTTTTTAGTTCAACGAATAATTTAATTATCAGCATCTATCCGTAAAACACAATAATGAGCAATATCTCTTCATTTCCCTTCAGTGTAACATACTTAGATCTAAACAATGAAAACTAAATATTTGAGGTATGGATATATTATTACTAAATGAAATTTTTGTAAATGAGAAGATCTCTGAGGGATTACAATGCTCGTGCTCAATGATGTAGACAGTTCTGTAATACTGTAATTTTCCAAACATAACCAAATAAGCATTATCTGCTAAAGAAACAGTAAACTGTGTTTTTAATGCCACCATGACAAGCAAGCCTATTTTGATCATAAATACAGATGACATTCCAATGTGAATATGTACCAGAGAAAAAAACGCAGAAAATGCAACATTTTTTTAATATTTACCAGAGAAAAAAATGCAGGGAAAAAACACAGATAAAAAACGCAGGGAAAAAACATAGAGAAAAAACGCAGAAAATGTAGCATTTCCAAAATCTTTCTGCATAATATGGTAAAAAATACGTTAAAATCACAGATCTACATTTCCCCCATATTCAATTGCATATTCAACTCCACATTCCTACAAGTGGATCTACGAAAAGGGAGCTACTAAAATCTTTCAGGAGAAACAAAGGAGAAACAAAAGAGGAGAAACAAAAGAGGAGAAGGACGAGAAGAGCGGAGGGAGGAGCAGACGGAGGAGTGGAGGACAAGAGAAAAAAACCTTACCGGTGGAGCGATCGGCCAAGGAGAAGGAGAGCCGAGTACGAAAAATACGAAAAAGAGGAGAAACAAAAGGAGAAACAAAAAGGAGAAGGAGGAGAAGAGCGGAGGGAGGAGCGGACGGAGGAGCGGAGGAGAGGAGGAGAGGAGGAGAGGAGGAGAGAAGAAGAAAACCTTGCCGCAGGAGCCGATGGCTACGAAAGAAGAGGAGCGCCGAGCGGGGCACCGTAGGAAACTTAGGAAGGCAAATGCGGATTGCAGGGATAGACCGGCCATCCGCGTGTAATATAAAACCTAAACCGCTGTTTTTAAATACGCGGCTCCACCGCGAGAACCAAACGGATAGGCGGCGTTTTCAAAATCCCGCCGCAAATATAAGCTGCCCCAAACGGGGTCTTAATCTTGGAGTTTTTAAAAATTGTTCAGGCTTTTTTATTTACTTATTTGAACGAACATGATCAAGCCTTAATTGAGTCGAGTTCAAGCTATTCATCAAGTGCATTGGTTCATTAATAGCCCTTTTGATATTTCAAAGACTATTTGGAAGTCTGTTAAACAATCATCATCCTTATCTTTTACTTTTCTTTGGGAATATAATATTTCTTTGTTGGATGATTTACATACATTACTGCTCAATTTTTATGTATTTACATCTGTAACACTTTAAATTTTAATATATATATATATATATATATATATATATATACACACCACCTTAGCTATACATGATAAGGTGTATTTCACTTTTTTCTTAAGTTAAAATAGTAGTATTTTTTATGTGATATGAATGATTTGATTGTTATAAATGTAAAAAAATAAATTTTATGTGTTACATATGTAAATCCATAAGAATTGATCGGTAGCTGTGTAAATGCTCCTTTGTTTTCTTAAGAGAAGCCATGGATGTATTTTCAGGTAGCGTCGTTCCTGTTGTATCTATCGGATGTCGAGGAGGGTGGAGAAACAATGTTTCCTTTTGAGGTATGCATGTAGAAACTGACGCTTTTTTCTTCAATCTATTTTGATTTATTATTTATGTAGAGATTCTATTATGTTTCCCAGAATGCAAATATCGATTTTAGTTACGATTACCGGAAATGCATTGGCTTAAAAGTTAAACCGCAGCAAGGAGATGGTCTTCTATTTTATTCATTGTTCACAAATGGAACAATTGACCCGGTAAGCTGATTGCTTAGTTATTAATTTTTTTGGAATTTACGTACCTAGCATTCAATTCCTGTGCATTTACATATCTAACACTTGAAATTCAAATTTTATATCATATTTTACATATGAAAATTAAAATAGTAATAATTTTGATGTGATGTGAAAGATTTATGTGGTATCAGTAAAAAAACTATAGTTTTGGTGTGAGATATGTAAATACCTAGGCTTTTTGTGGTATTTGTGTAAATGCCCCTAATTTTTGTTTTTTACTTTTACAAACCTTAATGAAATTTAAACAGTCTGGAAAAGCCTTTGTATCTTTCTTTAGGAGATTGAATTTCTTGCTTGACGTCTCTTCTCTCGTTTTCAGACCTTCCATAGTTTTAAGGAAAGCTTAGTATGGCATGTTGGTTGAGTGAGTTTGAACATTTTGTTTATTACTTATGTCACCAATCTTAACAAAAAGAATTCCTTATTAATACATCCGCGAGGGTTCTCTTCTCGCTCTTTATTAATGGTGAGCTTTTCAGAATTTTGACATGATTGAATTAAACACACATGTTTCAGGTTTGGATTTCAGTATTTTTTTTATTATCATAATTGACTAGATATCAAATTATAAAAAGTATAGTTTTGTTTTGTGGTGACCAAACATACAATGTTGACTTTAATAAAATTGCCTATTTTTAATTAAGATTATAATATTGCGTTTGTTTACATTATATAGGTAAATTCAAATGCCTATTAATTGCATTAAAACTAAACATCCAATCTTCAATTATGCAGCAAAATGTACATTTCCTTCAAGTCAAACTTACCAAAATAAATAAATTAATAAATAAAAAAAATATCAGCAGCGTTCTCTGTTTGTTGTTGCACTGATATCTTCATCTAAAGTTCGTAAATCCTGTGGAGATCATGTAGGATAATGCTGTAGTATTCATTTGAGCAGTTCTGTGATTCTATTTTCTTCATGGAGTTATTCCGTAGGCATTTTATGTTGCGAAAAACAGAGTAATATGGACAATTGAATAAATTGGATGTTTATAAGATACAAGATTAGACTTAGTAGAATAAGGTTCGAGTATTTGATATGCAATTTAAATGGATTGGGTATTAATAATTATCAAATAATATTATTAGCATATGAAATGATATGTTTTAGCTGTGTGATAGATTTAATTATCTTGGATTTATTATACATAGGATATATTATACATAAGAATGATCATATATATGATGATATAACTCATAGAATTAAGGATGTATGGCTAAAAGTATTTCGCGAGTATTATACAATATTATGATATATGCGAGACTTAAAAGTAAAATTTATAAAACAAATTATGCCAATGATTTTGAATATAATAGAGAATTGGGAAGTAAAAATAGCTATAGCTATTGACTTCTAAATTAAGAGTATACCAGAAATGATATTGTTAGAATAAATATGTGGTAAAATTTTGAAAGATTGTATTAGAGTGGTGATTTGAGTGAAATCTATTAAAGATAGGATAATTGAAAGTAGATTTGAATTATATAGACATCACAATATTGGGTAGAAATAAGTAGAAAAAATTAATCTTAGATGATTAAGAAGAAGTGATGGGTCTAAGATAACATGAATCAACAACAACAACAACAACAACAACAACAACACTTTATCCCACTAAGCAGGGGCAGTTTTATGAATCCTCTTTCTCCATTGTGTCCTATTGAGTGTCATATTTTCATTCAGGGGCAGTTTTATGAATCCTCTTTCTCCATTGTGTCCTATTGAGTGTCATATTTTCATTTAATTTTAATATATTAAGATCATTTTTTATATGATATTCTCTTTTTAGGGCTACCTCTACCTTTCTTAACATAAGTCGAATATAAAACATTTACTCTCTTAACAGGATCTTCAGATGGTCGATGTTTAATGTGATCAAAAAATTTAAGTGTAATGATGATCTAAACAGGATCATTAGAAGACTCTCTAATTTTTTCCGCCACTGGAGCTACGGCAACCCTATCACAGATATATCCATTTTGGCATTTTTTCTCTAAGTGTCAAGTTTCTCATCCGCCTAAGCATTCTTGGTTTGAAAACACTTAACTTTGTTTTCTCTTTTAAAGGCTAAACATTCTGCGCCATAGAGCATTGCAGGTCTCACTATCATCTTAAAAAATTTTCTTATAAGTCTAAACAGTACTTTTCTTATCACACAATAGGCTCGATGCATTCCTCCACTCCAAACAACCAACTTGAATTCTGCTAATAACATCCAATCTGTATCACCTTTACTTTGAATAATAGACCTGAGATATCTAAAATGTTCACACCTTTTAATAATTTGATCACCCATAATTACAACTTTGTCATTACATTTAAATATCAATTTTAGATCTCCTCAAATGAAGGCCTTTAAACTCCAATGCAGACCTCTATAATTCAAAATTTTCTTGTTTTATCCGCAAGAAGAATATCATCAGCGAAAAGCATACACCAAGGTACATCCTCATTTAAATGTCCAGTAGAAGCGTCAAGCAAAAAGTTATGGGCTTAACGTCGTTCCCTCTTGTAATCATCTGAAAGAGGAAAATACTTGGTTAATCATCATTTTGTTCGAGCACAATTAACACCTCTAGTATTAATATCTTTAATGACTTCAAAATAATTCATATCAACACATTTTTTCTGTAGAACTCTTCAAATGACTTCATACGGAACCTTAACGTAAACTTTTTCTTAAAAAAAAAAATCATGTAGAGCTTCCATAATAGACCTACCCAACATAAATTCAAGCTGATTATGAGAAATCTTGATATCACGTATTAACCTATGTTCAATGACGTTCTCTCATAATTTTAAAATATGACACATCAACTTAATTCTTCTATAATTTGCACACTTTTGTGCATCCCTTTATTCTTAAAAATGGGATCAAAATACTCTTCCTCCACTCGGGATACTCTTCTTCCTCCACTCGGGCATCTTTTTGGTTTTTAAATTAATATTAAAGAGTTCAGTAAGTCAAGAAACTTCTAAACTCTTAAAATTTTTCACATTGCAAGTGAGATACATCAGGTCCTATTGATTGTCTACATTTGTTTTTCTTTAAAGATCCTCAACTTCTTTTTTAATATTGCGATGGTAAAAATAAAATGTTTATTATTATTATTAATAATATTAAGATCACTAAAATCGATTGTATTTTCAAAAATTTATTGAAAAGTTTATCAAAATAATTCACTCACATATATTTTCTTCTAAGAAAAACAATTTTTTATTTTCATCTTTAATGCACTTTACTTGAATTAAATCTTTACTTTTATTTTCTCCTTTTTTAGCTTATATATATATTTTTCACTATTTTTAATATCTTTTCTATTATAAAGATCACTAAAAATATAATATTTAGCGTCACAAATTGTTCTCTTGGCTCCATACATGCCACTTTATATTTTTCTCAGTTCTTTAAGTTTTTACGTTTAACCAAATTTTTATAATCATTTTTATATTTTATCTTTTTGGCATATTATTATTCTGCCTCCAATTATTTTTATTTATAAAAAAGTTTTCCTTTTGATTCTTCAATTACTCTCTTGCCACTTGTTTAATAATGTTTTTTACTTTATTCCACATAGAATTAACTTCTTCATGAACTTCCCAAATCTTTAAAGTTTACTCATAAAAATAATTTTATTTATCTTTTAGGTGCCCCAATCTAGTTGATGTTAAAGCTTCATTGAATTATTTATCTTACAACTTCTCATCTTAAAATCTAAAACTAATAATCGATGTTTACATAATTTTTCACTTTGAATAATCTTACAATCTTTACATTCTTGACGATCTATTTTTCTCATTAGAAAATAATCAATCTATGTTTTATTATATTTGTTATTATAAGTAATAATATGCTCATATCTTTAAATAAAGTATTATCATTAACAAAATCATACATTAAAACAAAATCTAATATGATTTTATCTTCTTCATTAATCACTCTAAAATTATAGTCACCATGATATTTCTAAAGTCTTCTACCACTCTTCCAATATGTCTATTTAAATCTTCTCCAACAAAATTTTTTTTTTCAAGAGATATCATTTGTATTAATTCTTCTAAGACATTCTAGATATTTTCTTTTGAACTTATATCTAAACCTACTTGAAGAGCATAAACAGTTATTGGATTAAAAATCTTAGTATCAGCAATGATCCTTAGGTTTATAATTTTATCTCTAATTCAATTATTTTTTACAGCACCATCTTTCAAACTCTTATCTATAATTACACCTACACTATTTCAAGTGTGACTTCTACTTGAATATTAAAGCTTAAAACTTAAGCTGTTAATTTCATTTATCTTTTCTTCAAACTATTTAGTTTCTTGAATACATGAGATATTTATCTTCTTATAAACAAAATCTACTAATTTTATTAATTTACATGTGAGAGCATTTATATTTCAAGATTCTATTATAATATTAGTTTCATGATCTAACTTCTTTGCTCACATCCGTTCGTAATGTAAGAACCCTTGCTTATGTGACACTGCACCCGGGTGTCGATGCAGCGGTGTTTGAACATTTTTCATCATATTCAGGTCATACAGTGTGTCGCTTCTAGGAGACCCCTTAGTATTTATACATGAATTTAAAGAATTCATGTCATGATTTTTCGACAAAAATTTTATATTTGTTGTCGACTATCTATCACAATGCTTCATTTTTCACATCCGATACTTAAAACCTAGTGATGACATTATTATTTAAGAAAACGTAAATACAAGTTCAAAATGATATGTGAATATGAGGTTTAACACATTAATTAACAAGAATGAACAGAAGATGAGATGTTATAAAGTGGGCATGTAGAACCTACAAAATGGATATAAAGTTGCCATTAGACCTTGCAAAAAAAAACTTTTTCTTCTTATGGTTGGTCATAAAAAAAGTTCATTTGTGAAATACTCATTTGGCAGAGGAGAAGATACAAAAACTGTTTTATTCGCCCATAAAAGCGTGTTCATGTATTTACATATTTAACACCTATACATTGACATTTACATGCATACCACTCAAATCTTTAACATCACATCAAAAATATCGCTACCTTTATGTTTCTAAAAGTGAAAGACACATTTTTGATGTATGCATACATGAGAATATGATTGCAATGTAAACTTTGGGTGGTAGATATGCAAATACATGAGAATGATGTGGTATGCATGTAAATTTATCAATAATTTATGTATATATATGAATATGATTGCTTATTAATTGACAGAAGCTTTTGTTTGTCTACAGACTTCTCTTCATGGCAGTTGTCCAGTGATAAAAGGAGAGAAATGGGTTGCCACGAAATGGCTCAGAAATACTAATAATAAGAATGCTTTCAGGTAGAATTATTAGTTTACAGGGATTTAATTTACATATCAATATTCTGAAGATATTTTTTTTTATATAGAGAGAAATGGCTTGTTTACACCAAATATATATATATATATATATTGATTATTAAATTCCGCAATAAAATTCTAATATTTATTTTAAATGTTATCAAAATTTCTACTAATATGCATGAATTTGTCTTGAATAAATAAATTTGCTTACTGCTCTGATTTTTAAAATTTAATAGATTCTAGTGATACATATCTCTCTCTCTCTCTCTCTCTCTCTCTCTCTCTATTTATATATAAGGAATGGCCGAAGGCTTTTATACGAGCCCTCGTCATCCCTTATGACCTTATAATTTGAGTAACATACCCTACATTCGGGGGAAATCGAACCTCGGATTAGAGGGGATTTACAACTGACAAGCAGATGCCCGACTAAATGATCTGAGTACGCGTCACCTTTATATATATATATATA